CCCCGGGTGTGTATTCCCACCCCCATCCCGGGTGTATATTCCCACCCCTCCCCCCCCATCCCATCCCATCCCGGGTGTATATTCCCATCCCATCCCATCCCATCCCATCCCGGGTGTATATTCCCCCCAACACACACACACACACACCCATCCACCCATCCTTCCATCCCGGGTGTGTATTCGGACCCCCTCCCTCCTCCCGATCCCGGGTGTATATCCCCACACTCTGCCCCCGCTCACGATCCGGTTCTCATCCGCCACCAGCTCTTCGATATTCTCCACCACAAGCTCGAGCTCCTCCATCGTCGCGACCGAAGCGGGAAAGCGGGGAGGGGTGAGAGGTCAAGGGGGCGGGGCCTACGGTGGGCGGAGCCAGCGGGTACGGGGCGGTGGAAAGCTCGGGGTCAAGGCCGGCAGGAGCCTGTTCCCCCGGCAACCAGGCCGGTCGTCCGGACCCCTAAAAAGAAATCACCGTGCAATAAAATCATTGTTTTCTTACTGAAGGACGTTTCATGGGGATTGCAAAACATGAACCAACGTGGGAGCAAATTAATATAAAATATTTTACTATTGAAGGATTGCGGTGGGGTTAAAGGTTATAAGATGGCGACACCCAAGGTTTGAGGTGGTGACATTCTTCTGAATTGGTAAGGGATGCTTCGTTTTTCAAAACTTGGTTCAAGCTCAATTTATCTCAGAGCCCATGAAATTATAATGCACTGCGGTATAAAGGACGTGATATTGAATTTCACTGTCTGCCTGAAGGTTCTCTGATGATCAGTAACCCAGTACACAATCTCACCGTTTATAAACTTTTAATAGTCAACGTTAGATGGGAGAAGTTGGGACTGTTTTCCTTGAAGCAGATCAGGTGAGAGGAGGTTTGATCGAGGTGTTCAAACTGATGAGAGGTCTGGACTAACTTTCCTTTGAACACCGCCCAGAACCCGTCACATTGATCGTCAGGCTGTTGCATGATTTCTGCTTCTGGAAGCCGCTGAAGAGAACCGACCTCGGACGTCCGTGCAGAAGGAAGGAAAAAAAATAGAAACAACATTGGTCTCTTATAGAGTAGATAGGAAGAAACTCTTCCTACTGGTGAAAGGACCAAGAACAAGAGTACAAAGCTTTAACAAAATTGGCTATAGAAGGAACGGAGGCGTGAGGTGAAAAACGCTTCCTCCCAAAGCAAAGGATTAAGATCTGGAATATACTGCCTGAAAATGTAGTGAGGATGGGTTTCAATGGTAATTGGATCATCTGAAAAAAAAACATTTGTAGATCTACAGGAAAAAGTAGGGTAGTAGCACTAGCCAAGTTTCTCCTGAAGAGAGCCAGCATGGTATTTTACTATGCTGCAACCATTCTTTGACTTTGAAATGTCCCAAAGTGGTCCCCAGGTGGTGATAAAACAAAAAAAAAGCCAAGAACTGTGGATGCTGGAAATTGGACACAAAATTTCTGGAATAAGTCAGTAGATTGGGCAGCATGTGTGCAGAGAAAACAGGATTAATGTTTCGGGTTCAGTGACACTTTTTCCCCAAGTAGTGATGAAACAAAATTTTGATAGAGTCACAGAGATAGATGTACAGCAGGAAACCGATCCTTTACTCCAACTTGTTCGTACCAACCAGATATCCTAAATTAATCTAGTCCCATTTGCTAGTATTTGGCCTGTAATCCCACTAAACCCTTCCTATTCATATACCCATCCAGATGCTTTTCATATGTTAGAAGTCACGCAACACCAGGTTATAGTTGAACAGGTTTATTTGAAATCATAAGCTTTTGCAGCACTGCTCTTTCATCAGGGCTTCACCCGACAAAGGAGCAGCAATCTGAAAGCTTGTGATTTCAAATAAACCTGTTGGACTATAACCTGGTGTTTTGTGATTTCTGACTTTGTCCACCCCAGTACAACACTGGCACTGCCACATCATGGCTTTTAAATGTTGCAATTGTACCAGCCTCCTCCACTTCCTCTGACAATTCATTCCATACACACACCACCCTCTGTATGAAAGAAGTTGCTGCTTGGGTCCATTTTAAATCTTTCCCCTCTAACCTTAAATCTATGCCCTGGGAAAAAGACCTTGACTATTCACCTTATCCATGGACGTCCTGACCTTCTATCTGGTCACCCCTCAGCCTTTGCCAGGGAAAATATCCCTAGCCAATTGAACCTTTCTATAAAGCTCAAATCCTCAACCGTGGCAACATCCTTGTAAATCTTTTCTGAACCCTTTCAAGTTTCACAACATCTTTCCGATAGGGAGAACAGAATTGAATGCAGTATTCCAAAAGTGGCCTAACCAATGACCTGTATAGCCTCAATACGACCTCCCAACTCCAAAATTTAATGCGCTGACCAACAAAGGAGATTTGGGCCAGGTGACATAATGGCATTGATGTGATTTTCCTGAGGTTCATACTGAGTCCCCTCAGGTTGTATGTCCAATGTAATGTGTTTGGGTCATGAATTCCTCCTCCACTTATGTAACAATGTTCGATGGAGAGCGCAGGAGGGCTCCAAGCAGCATCACTGAGCAAATCTTAAAATGAGGTGTCAACCTGGTGAAGCTACAACACCGGACTATTTGTGTGCTAAATGACAAGTATTAGGCAGTGCTAGGATTACACAACTAACCGATCAGAACTAAGGGTCTGAAGACTCTGGATTCCAGTATCTGCAGTCCTTATCGTCTCCAGATCAGAACTAAACTTTGCAATCCTGCCACATCCAGTTGTGAACAGTAATGGTCAGTTAAGAAAATCATTGGAGGAAAAGGCTTCAGAAATATCCCATCATCAAGGATGGGGAGCCTAGCACATCATTTCAAAAGACAAGGCTGAAATATTTGCATCCATCTTCAATCCAAAGTGCTGAATAGATGATCCATCTCACCCTCTAGAGGTTCCCTATTTTCAATCAATTTGATTCACTTCACTTCATGATTTTAAGAAACAGTTGAAGGTAATGGATAGTGCAAAGTCAATGGGTCCTGACAACAGTCCAGCAAAGGTCATGAACAGTTGTGCTCCAGAATTTGAAAAGCTACAAATTTACTGAGCCAAGTGTTCCATTGTAGCCAAACATTGGCATCTACCCAGAAATGTGGCAAATTTTCCAGGATTGCAGGTTAATAGTTCCATGAAAGTTGAGTTGCAGGTAGATAGGATAATGAAGAAGGTGTTTGGTATGCTTTCATTTATTGGTCAGTGCATTGAGTATAGGAGTTGGGAGATCATGTTGCAGACATACAGGATGTTGGTAAGGCCACTATTGGAATACTGCATGCAATTCTGTTCTCCCTGCTTTAGGAAGAATATTGTGAAACTTGGAAGGGTTCAGAAAAGATTTACAAGGATGCTGCCAGGGTTGGAGGGCTTGAGCTATAGGGTAAGGCTGAATAGACTGGGGCTGTTTTCCCTGGAGCGTCGGAAGCTGAGAGGTAACCTTATAGAGGTTTATAAAATTATGAGGGGCATGGATAGGATAAATAGACAAGGTCTTTTCCCTGGGTGGGGAAGCCAAAACTAGACGGCATATGTTTAAGGTGAGAGGGGAAAGATTTAAAAGGACTTAAGGGGCAACTTTTTCACAGTGCATGTGTGGAATGATCTGCCAGAGAAAGTGGTGGAGGCTGGTACAGTTACAACATTGAAAAGGCATCTGGAAGGGTTGAGAGGGACATAGGCCAAATGCTGGCAAATGGGACTAGATTTATTAAGGATATCTAATCAGCATAGACGAGTTGGACCGATGGGTTTCTGTGCTATATATCTCAACGACTCTATGAATCTGAGGTATTTTCTGTGCACCAAAAAACAGTGCAAATGCAACCTGGCTAATTACCACCCGATCAGTCTGTTCACGATCATCAGCAAAGTGATGGAAATGTGTCATTGTTACCACAAACAAGGTCATTCTTGCAGAACCAAGGTCACTGTCTTCCTGATCTCATTACAGCCTTGATTCAAACATGTTCATTAGTAAGCAAAGGGACTTGGGAGTCCTAGATCAGAAATATCTTACAGTTAACATGCAGTCAGAAAGGCAAATGCCATGTTAGCATTCATTTCAAGAGGGCTAGAATAAAGAACAGAGATGATCTGCTGAGGCTATATAAGACTCTGATTGGACCACATTTGGAAAATTGTGAGCTGTTTTGGGCCCCGTATCTGAGGAACGATGTGTTAGTGTTGGAGGGGGTCCAGAGGAGGTTTACGAGAATGATTCCTGAGATGAAGAGTTTGCCGTTAAGAGGAGCACTTCAGGACTCTTTGTCGTGTACTGTATGGCTTTTAGAAGAATGGGGGGGGTGGCGGAAGGGATCTGATTTGAAACTTGCAGAACAGGCCTGGATAGAGTAAATATTGGAGAAGATGTTTCTACTAGTGGGAGATTCCAGGACCCGAGTGCACAGCCTCAGTGAAGGGACCACCCTTTAGAACTGAGATGAGGAGGAATTTCTTCAGCCAGAGGGTGGTGAATCTGTGGAACTCCTTGCCGCAGAGAGCTGTGGAGGCCAAGTCACTGAGTGTATTTAAGACAGATTGGTTCTTGATTGGTAAGGAGATCGAGGGTTACAGGGAGAGGGCAAGAGAATGAGGTTGAGAAACAAATCTGCCACAATTGAATGCTGGAGCAGACTCGAAGGGGCAAATGGCCTAATTCTGCTCCTATACTTATGTCTTATGGATAGAAGCGTTGAACATGAAAGCAAAGGTGAGAGTTACTGCCTCTGACATGAAAGTTGTGTTTGACTAGGTGCAGTACCAAGGAGCCTTCTCACAATTAAAGCCAATGGAAATTGGAGATAAAACTCTGTTTGTTGGAATCATACCTGGCACAAAGAAAGACAGTTGTGGTTGGAGGGTAGTCATCTCAATTCTAGGGCACTTCTGCAAGACCTGCAGTGTCTTGACCTAACCACCTTTTTAGCTGCTTCATCAATGACCTTACCATTACTATAACATCAAAAGTGGGGATGTTCACTGATGATTGCAACAATATGCAGTACCATTCATAACTTGTCAGATCCTGAAGCAATCCATGTCCAAATTCAGCAAAACAGGGTCAATGTCCAGGCTTGGGCTAAGTTCTAAGTAATGCCAGGATCTGAAGCCACAGCTAAATTAAACCTGATGTGGGATAGCTAAGGGCATTCTCTCTGGTGTTTGCACAGTATAATGGGATGCTGTTGATATTAATGGGATTGTATTTTACTGTGTTTTAAAATCTTTGTGTGTGTTATTTGTAAATAGTTTAGTTTATTTTATTTTCATTTCCTTTGTGTAATAAACATCTGTTTTATTGTGAAGCCCAAATCACTAGACTGCGATCGTGGTAGGAACAACCTTATAAGGAGAGGTTGAGTAGTTTTGGCTTGTACTCTGATTCTGCTAAATTCCAATGAGGCAACCTTATTGAGATGTACAATGTTCTTAGGGGACTTGATGGGGAAGCTGCGGAAAGTTTGTTTCCACTTGTAGGAGAATCTAGGACCAGAAGGGCATAATCAGAATAAGGAATCGTACACCTAAAACAAATGAGGCAGAATTTCTTTTGACGGTCATGAATCTGTTGAACTTTTACTGCAGAGTACTAGGTAGGCTAGTTCATTAAGTATTTTTAAGGCTGAGAGAGATTTTTAATCAGCGCGGGACTCTGGGATTATGGGGAATTGGCAAGAAAGTGGAATGAGAGTTATCAGGTCTGTCTGAAATTCCTTCTCTGGTCTAACTGGGTGACTCCTTGCATTGAAATTATGCCATTTGGTCCTTGACTCTTCCATAAGAGGAAGTAGCCTCTCAGCATCTACTCTGTCAACCCTCTAAAAATGTTGTATATCGACCATTTACCAGATCATTGCCTATTCAACCTTTCTGTTTCTCTTTGTAGCTGCATTTTGTCCTTTTCACAACTTATTTTCTTGCCTATTTTTGTGTAATTAGCAAATTTACTGACCATACCTTCAGTAAGTCTGAGTGCCTTGATGATCCACTTTGAATGACATAAGGCGGAGACCTTTTAGAACTGAGATGAGGGAAATTTCTTCACCCGGAGAGTGATGAGCCTGTGGAATTTGTGACACAAAGTATTTGAGGCCAAAACATGTTTTCAAGGAGGAGGTAGATGTAGCACTTGTGGCTGAAGGGATCAAGGGATGTGGAGAGAGAGTGGGATTAGGGTATTTAGCTCCATGATCATATTGAATGGCAGAGAAGGCTCGAGGGGTAGAATGGCCTACTCCTGCCCTTATTTTCTTTTCTTTATTAGGTGGCTAGTTGCTTTCCTTGAAGGTCATTTAGTACAGTGAGATTTTTGCAACGAGCCAACAGCTTTACTAATCACTTTATCGGGTATCAGATCACAAATCAAGAAATATTGAATTCAGTTTTGTAATCACCACGGGGAGGTTTGATCACATGACTTCAGATTTGCTACTTGAAAATTGAGCCACTGACTATTTATAGAGTTGTGACTATGCAGAAGTAGGTCTGAAACTAGTGGAGCAAATCCTGATTTGATTCTTTCATCATTTTTCCCAGACCTGTGGGATGACTGAAGATGAGCTGCTATGCTTTGTAAACTGTCTGGGTGTGCTAGTCTTTCTGCTTGCTGTTCTCTATCATTGGGTTGATACTGTGCACTCTGGATCCCCAACCTTCACACAAAGTTTCTACGATGCAAGACCAAGGAGAAGCTTTCACAGCCAGCGCCGGAGGCGAGTGTATACACGGAGCATCTCAATGAGTGACTTGGACCTACCAGGAGACATACTATGATGAAACCTTCAAGTTACACTAAAATCCTGACGGATCCAGAACATGTCAGTAAAAGAAACAAGACCAAATCAGCTAGCACAGAGTCAATTTTTATTAGAGTAAGAAGCAACATGAGTTCTGCCATCTCACTGGCAAACACCATTGTGAAATGTCACGCACCTGTCCTTTAAGCCCAGTCCAGCACATAAGCATGTAATCCAAAAAGCTGGTCTTAAAGAAGAAACATCCACAGCAGTCTATGTTCCTTACTTGGCTGACATCCCCGAAAAACATTGTAACTGATCACACAACACATTGTTGTATGTCTGACTTTGCTTTGTGCAAAATGATTGCATGCAATTGAATCATTAAGAGCAGGTACACTGCAATTTTTTTTACAGGCCACTTTGAAATGTTTCTGGATGTGATAAGCTGCTTTATCATGCCAACTCTTCTTGTCAAATCAAATGAGAGATAACTCGGTAGCTTTGTCATCTGAAATTCATCAGTGTTTTAAACAGAAAATAAATGGAGCAGAGTAGTACAAGGGAAATGCAGACTGCAGGAACTGTGGGTAATATTGAGCAGTTTGGTTGTTCAGGCGTATCAAAGTTTTTGACTGATCATTTGGCATTTGCTTGTTCTGTTGATGTAATTGGCCAAAGCAATGGTCACATCCCACACGTGAATGGAAAAAAAACCTGCTCACTTCACCCTGAACCCAGAGGCTTGAAACTGTTCCATTTCCATCTTGATCTGAAAATGGCAAAGGCACCAATCTGTGTTGGGATCTTGCAATGTCCCATTTAAATCTGACACAGATTGTGGAAAATAGGAAGAGACCGATAATTTAAAGTTTGCCTGGACTGTTTTGTTTCTGCTTTAACAGCTTAGAAATTATAGTGCTAGCCAATATTTATATCTCAACTCCATCGTGCAATACAGAATGTTAGATCATTATCGCATTCTGTTGTAAATTGACTCATGCAATTTCTCTGTTCCAACAGTAACTTGTTGTTCATTGGATTTACTGTATGTATACTTTGGATGGTCATGTGAAAGGTGCTGTATAAACACAAGTGTTTCTTACTCTGTACATCTTGCAGTCTAGGTTTTGTCACCATGCCTTTATTGAAGCCTGTGATCGAAGTGGTGAATCTGGGCAGGATTTCGTATGCAGAAGGGCTGCACGCACAGCGGACCTTCATCCAGCGTCACCTCAATTCCCTGTCCCAGCAGCCCACTGCTGAACCCCCAGTCAATGCCCTGTTGCTGTGCGAGCATGATCCTGTCTATACCATTGGGATCAGGACAGCACGGTACCCAGTCGAGGAAGAGGAGAGACTGAAGCAGTTGGGGGCAGAGTTCCACCGGTCTGACCGAGGTGGCCTGATCACCTTTCATGGCCCTGGGCAGCTGGTGTGTTATCCCATCCTCAACCTGGCTCACTTCAGGAAGAGCGTGCGGTGGTACGTGGGCGAGTTGGAGACGACTGTCATCCGCCTGTGCCACAAGTTTGGGATCAAGGCAGAGACGTCGCCTGACACTGGAGTATGGGTTCAAAATGAGAAAATCTGTGCTATAGGTAAGTGATGCTACTGCCTCTGGAAGAAATTGAAATCTCCAACTGGGGCTTGCTATACAAGGAAGGCCTGTGGATTTCAAGAAGGCACTTGATAAGGTGCCTCATAAAACATTTAACACAAGAATTGAACCAGGTGTTTTAACAAATAGTGAAGTGGCATAGAGGGAAAAATGGTTAACAGGCAGTAGAAGGCTCACAGAAGCATTTGCAAAATGACCCAGTACACCTTCTCCCTGCCAGGACATTGCATGATCTGATGATATTGGAGTTACTGACTAATCAGAGCATTCAATCTGGATCAGCTAATCTACAAGAGAATCCTATATGAGGTGAGGTGAGCCCCAGTGATGGAGAGTTTTGCAAACCAATACATCCAAAGTCATATGGGAACTGTTTGGGAAAAGGCAGGAAATTGATGCATTTTGGTCAGAGGAACATTGAAAGACAATTAAAAAATAGGGGGTGAAAAAATAGAGGGTGCAGGAGCAGAGGAATGTGGGTGTAAATGTGCACAGATCATTGAAGGTGGCAGCATGGATGGAAAGAACAGTTAATAAAGCATACAATGTATTTGGCTTTTTTATTAGTGGCATAGAGGAGGTAATGTTGCACTTGTACAAGACACTTGTTAGCCCTCACCTGGAGGATTGTGTACAGTTGTGGGTGCCATGTCATTGGAAAGATGTGAATGCATTGGAGAAAGGGCAGGAGCAATCTACTAGAATGGTTCCAGGAATGAGAAACTTCAGCTGAGGATAGACTGGAGAACCTGGGACTGTACCTCTTGGAAGGAAGTCACCTGAGAGGAGATTTGATGAAAATTTTCAAAAACATTAATGGACTGGACAGGGTATATAGGGAGATAGTAGGAACTGCAGATGCTGGAGAATCTGAGATAACAAGGTGTAGAGCTGGATGAACACAGCAGGCCAAACAGCATCAGAGGAGCAGGAAAGCTGACGTTT